TTTTTTGGAGATGATATCTCATGTCCCAGGACGGCCACAAACTCAAGACAACTCTCCCGTCGCACCTTCCCAAGGGCTGGGATTATAGGTGTGAGCCAGCCACAACACCACCCACGCAGCTTCTCACCTGCACTCAAATGTAGACTTCTGATACTCCCAACCAAGAAAAGTGGTGAAATACAACCAATCACTTTGCACGCCTTGCACTAGTCAGCCACTGGAGGCCCCTAAAGACTTGTGCTAAGAGGAAGAAAACACCAAGTCCAACAGCAGCCCAAAGACAACTGCACCTAAAAACTAGCGATTCCTCTAGAACACCAGCTCTCCAGAGAAGGCGACAGGTGCACTCTCGAGTCATCAGCCCTCAGATGACCTCATGCATGGAACACTTGAGAACATTTTGTTAAACCAATGAGACAAGAATTTCTTAAAATCCTCCAGGAGATTTTCCTGGGTAAAACAAGTCACATGAGCAGCCCTTCTGGAAGGTCCAACTTTCAACAAGGGAAGAGTCCAGTGAATGGAAGAAACTGGTCATCGGACTTTTGAAGAAACGATCAAGCATAGAAGGACGGCAGCATGAAACCCAGCACACGGGAAGAAGAAGACACGTCAGCTCATGGATGGCTCCAGAACAGGAACCAGGACACTCACCAGCACTTTGTTTTCCACCCTGTCTCCCTTCACTTCCAACTTCACTTTCTTCTTCACTGAGATTTTGATCTTTCTGCCAATAACATCCTTTATGCTTTCTGAAAGAAAGAAAAAGTTTCATTATAGTCCTTCTTTAGCAAGAAAAAGGGGCATTGGTGCAGAGCAGACATTTGGAGGAGAGTCGAGCTGTTCTTATCGTTGGCCCTTTACTTTCTTTCTGCTAGATTAACAAGTCTGATAGTTGTCAGCCTTCAAGAGGTTTTTGTTTTGAGACAGAGTCTGGGAACCAAATGCAAGTCTGCTGGAAGGCAAGTACTCTGAACAGCTGAGCCATCTCTCCAGTTCTGAATATTAAAGTCTTGACAGCAGTGGTCTGTGGTGTAGCCCAGTGGCAGAGATTTGAAAGTTTGGAAAAAAGAATGTCTCCCTGTCACTCTCACGAGCTGCCCAACCCAAATCAAATCCAGTGCCATCTTCACTGGCAACTATGAAAGCGGGACAACCTTGCTCTTCTCCAACTCTCTGAGGGAATTAGGAGTTGAGGTTCCCAAAAATCCACCTGCTTGCTGCACAGATCCTGAGCCCCAAGGATGACTGCACCAAGACACTTGGCATCTCTCCCTAAATCTGCCCCTGGCCTTCCTAACCACAGTGGCCTTTCTGAATGCCCAGCTTGAGTGTGCCTTTCCTGGTTAGAGGTATGGTCATTTGGGGAAGAATCCAATGGTTGCAGTGTGTAAGTCTCACATTTCCCAGCTTGATTTCTCAGTACATACACAAGGGCCCATGTCTCCCTGGACTTTCACAAGCCTGGGATTTTCTATGGATTCTCTTTTCTGGGATGTCTTTGCCCTATTCTCCTGATAATATCATACTTGTCCTTCAAATGCCAGTTCCATCTTCTAGGCTGTCATAGCTCTGTATTCTGTATTCTAACCATCTTGGCTTGTTCAGGGAGTCAAAAACATGAACAGCCCTACTACCTGCTTGCTATGGTGGTTTACCATCTAGCGAAAGCTACTCGAGACACCACTAAATGAATCTTCACACAGCACACCTGCTCACAGACAGGGCAGGGGTGGAAGTTTGAGACAAGAGAATCTTGAGCTGAAGAGGCAGGAAATGGACCTCTGGTTTCCACACTGGGGTGTCCAACATGGCCCACTAAGGTGTAGAATGTTGACTCTTTACACCGTAGATGTTTTAGCACATACAGACTAAAGTCTATCATTCTGAGCAACAGCTACACAGCAGGTAGACAAAAGGTGAGAGAAGTAAAGGAAGGAGAGAGA